GGGGACAAAAGTCAGAGGGGTCAAGCATACTTCTGGTAGGGCCTTTGTCTTTGTATTAGAATCTCATCTGAGTCTCATCTGTGGGAAGTTTATCAACAAAATTCCTGCTTAGTAAATGATCCATTTTTACATTCAATTATTTTAACAGTGAAAATGGCAGACAGGGCATATGCTTGAAATTATTGTTTCATCCGCACAAGGGTTCAAAGCTTGATCTAATCTTTTAAAATGTAGGTTCATTCCATTTAATAAGAAAATGTAACCTACTTCTTGGTTAAACAAGGTGGTCCTAAGCAATCAGTGCCGGCTGCTCTGTTGGTACTCAGAGTGCCTGGGAGCTCTTGCCCTCTTCTGCTGGGTTCCTCCTACATCGGCTGCCCTTTGGCTCTGGATGGCCCTGCCGCCACCCTGGCAGTGACTGACTTTGGCCGAGGGGGAATATGGAGTGGCCAAGTACAAACGCCATGTCCCATAGGCACCTCAGCCTCACCCTGAGAGCGTTTGATGTTGACAAAAGGAGGAAGTAGAACAGCTGGAAGCAAACAGGAGCTAAAAGGGGGAAAAGCAGAAGTAGGGAAAATGAGCCCAGTCAAAACAATGAAGCCTACAAATGGGAACCGCAGATGCTCCCGATGAGAATGAAGAGGCCCGGTGTCTCTGAGCCGTGTGGATCCTGCAGTCTCCGGCGATCCCCAAACTGTTTGTCCTTGGAATCCTGGCTATCCTCTCAGACATCCTGATTTCCTTATGTCCTGTGGATCTTCACAATAAACTCTAGTACTTGATTGATGTAACCGATGTCTCTTGCTTATGGCTAAAACTGCTTAACCCAGCATCATACATTAAAATGTTAACTTTTAAAGCATTGATATGTTTATGATCACATAATATGGGGTTCATGTTTTTTAGCAATTTTTAAAATCATATATAAAGTCTTAGTAAATAAGATAAAAGGAAATGCATACAGGAGATAGTTTTCAGAATTTACCAGTACTTTTTAACAAAGAACAAATAATATAAAATTTATTATGGAGAAAGGACTTTGAGCTAGAATTCACATAATAATAAATTTGGGCTAAAGATAGCCTCAAGCAAATGATGTTAAATGTTTAGTACGTGCTGTGCTGTGCTTTACTCTCTGGTATATGACTTCCAGGGTTCCCTTACAGAAGAACTGGTGCTAAAGTAATTTAGATTCTTTATTATTAGTTTAAATAACTTTTAGTTAGTATAGTCCACAAATGGAAATCCCATGAAGGAGCCAATGCCAGGCTTCTGGGGTGAGCTTTCTCACCTGCCTTTCCACGTGGGGAGGTGAGGTCCACATGGGGATAGCTCTGAGAGTTTTCAAGGCCTTATTGGAAGGACCAGGCCTCCACTGCTGATGTCTTCTCATTGTTGGATTTGGATGTTGACTCATCGTGTCTTTAGGCAAAACTTAATAGAAATGAGAATCCCTGTTACATCTACAAATTTTCCAAATTAGAAATCAAGCTAGATTTGTTAATTAAACTTTTTATTTTGAGACGATTGTAGATTCACATGTGGTTGAAAGAGATAATATGGAAACACTCAGTTTCCCCTAAAACTAACATCCCACAAACATCTAGTGTAACATCACAACCAGGAAACCATCATTCATATCATCAATATACAGAACATTCCTAGACCACAGGATTCCTCCCACTGCCCTTTTAACAACACCTGTGTCCCTCCTCCCTGGCAATCCCTGGTCAGCCTTTTAGATCTGTATCAAGAATGTTACAGAAATGGGGCAGTATGTAACCTTTAAGGGTTAGCTTTTTTTCCCCATTCAGCATAATCCCCTGGAAATTCATCTAGTGAATCTAGATTTTTTTTTAAAGCCACATGAAATCAATCTGTCCCTCTGGTCATACCATACCAAACCTGAACCCTCATGCAGGCAATAGAGGGACACTGTTTTGGGGAGATTTGTAGCCTATGAAATCTCAAACATATTTTAGAACTATTAAAATGAGACTATCTTCATCCTGGCTGGGTGGCTACAGTTGGTTGGAGTGGTGTCCTGTAGACCAAAAGGTTGTGGGTTCCATTCCTGGTCAGTGCACATACCTAGATTGTGGGTTTGATCCCTGATCAGAGTGTGTACAGAGGCAACAAATCTATATTTCTCTCACATTGATGTTTCTCTCTTTCTCTAAAAATCAATAAACACATATATCATCAGGTAAGGATTTAAAAAAGAGAGAAACTATCTTTTTTCAGAGAGTCTGTGTACCAGCAAGAAAAACTGAGTATTGGGCCAATATATTTCAGACTCTATACTTTCACTCTGATAAAACTCAACATAAGAGGTATATTACCACTAGGTAGTATATTTCAGGACTGGAATCGGGCCTGTGCCAGTGTCGACCCCAAAGCTACATGGTGCAACAAAAGAATAGCTTTGTTATTGGTTCTTTAAAAAATGTTGATTACACCACTATAGAAAAACAGATAAGCCAAAAAAAACCCCAAAAATAAACCAACTGTGCATGGCCAGCATGGCTCAGTGGTTAAGCATCAACCTATGAACCAGGAGGTCACGGTTCGATTCCTGGTCAGGGCACATGCCCAGGTTGTGGGCTCGATCGCCAGTGTGGAGAATGCAAGAGGCAGCCAATCAATGATTCTCTCTCATCATTGATATTTCCATCACTCTCTCCCTCTCCCTTCCTCTCTGAAATCAATAAAAATATATTTATTTTAAAAAAGAGCAAACAATTGTTAATGTTTTGTGCACACACTACTAGAGCAATACTTTTTTGAAAATGTTTAAAATCATCTCTTTATATTGATTAGTCTTTGACACACGATGAATCAGAAACCTAAATAAATTTAAATGTAAAAAAAAAAACCACCTGGTTTTTAGCAAGTAAAATTTCCTTAAATATATAGTTTCATCATACCTCTAATTAAAGATTATAATTCATGTTACTAGCAAAAATTTTCATGAGATGTAATGAGTTAACAGTGCATTTTCTCCTCTAAATGTTAGGTCATGATACCATTATGAAGGCTTCAAAAGGAAAGTTTTCTCATACGCTGAATTCTAAATTCCATGTTTTTCTATCAGCTCTTTTGCTTTAGAAATATAGGCATTCATGGCATCTTCCTTCGATAATCCTAGAAAGATACAAACAGATCATCTCACAAACAGATGCATTAGAAGTTAAAAAAGTTCACTGAATTTAAGAATTAACAACCTACACAATGGAATACTATGCTGCAGTAAAAAAGAAGGAATTCTTATCATTTGCAGCAGCATGGGTGGAACTGGAGAACATTATGCTAAGTGAAATAAGCCAGGAAGTGAAAGAAAAACACCACATGATCTTACTCATTTATGGATAATAAAGAACATTATAGCCTGATGAACAAAAGTAAAGAGGCAGAGAAGCATCGAACAAACTGTCAAATTACAGATTAACAACCTTTTTGGAGGTTCCATGCTTCCCACTTAGCCTTGCCTTTTAAATCTAGCATTCCTGGACATTCTGCCAAAAGAAGGATAGACATATTGTCAAGTTTACTTTTTACTCTACGCTTCTATAAACATTGATCAAAGTATATCACTATTTTAAAGATGACAATAAATACCAATATTGATGTCTCCAATTACAGATTGTTTGTAGAGCCCGTAAAGTTCTTTCAGTTCTTCATCATCTGGCCTTGCTTTCAGCTTCCTCACATCTTCCGCTGCCCTATCAAAATCAGCCTAAAGCAAAGGAGAAAAGGCACATAATGCATTTGCTACTTGTATGCAGGCCCGTCTGTTTGGGGGTTTTTACCAGAAGCAGCAGGAACTCAAAGGAGCAGGGGGACAGAGATGCAAACAGAAATAAACTACTATTGCTCTGGCTCGACCAGAATTATCATAACTTATTCATGGACCCCACTCCAGGTACTTATGTGTTATATAGACAAGATATGGTGAACAAAATATAATTCTGAATACTGAAAATGTTCAACTTATCAATGTTTAAGAATTGAAGATGACACAAGTAAATGGAAAAATAACCTGTGCTTTTGGATTGGAAGAATTAATATTGTTAAAATGTCCATACTACCCCAAGCAAGCAAGCAACCTACAGATTCAATGCAATCCCTATCAAAAGTCCAGTGGCATTTTCAGAAATAGAAAAAACAATCCTAAAATTTGTATGGAACCACAAAAACTCCAAATACCCAAAGCAATCTTGAGAAAGAAAATTATAACCAGAGGCATCATGCTTTCTGGTTTCAAACTATAATACAAAACTATATTATTCAGACAGTATGGTACTGGCATAAAAACAGGCACCTAGGTCAATGGAATGGAAAAGAGAGCCCAGAAAAAACCCCATGCATACATGGTCAATTTAATTTAGGACAAATAAGCCAGTCTCTTCAACAAATGGTGTTGGAAAAACTGGACAACCACATGCAAATGAATGAAACTGGACCACTATCTTATACGGTACACAAAAATCAACTCAAAATGGATCAAAGACTTGAACATAAAACTTGAAAGCATAAAACTCCAAGAAGAAAACACAGGTGGCAACTCATTGAAACTTGTCTTAGAGGTAATTTTTTTGGATTTGACACCCACACCAGAAGCAACAAAAGCAAATGTAAACAAGTAGCATTACATCAAACTAAAAAGCTTCTGCACAGCAAAAAAACCCACCAACATGAAAAGACAGACCTACCAAATGGAAGAAAACATTTGAAAATCATATAGCTGATGGGAGTTAATATCTAAAATATCTATTAAAAAGTCATACAATTCAAAAACAAAAAACAAACAATCCAATTAAAAATGGGAGGTAGATCTGAATAGATATTTTTTCCAAAGAAGACATACAGATGGCCAACAGATATATGAAAATGTGCTCAACTTCACCAATCATCCAGGAAATGCAAATCCCATCAGTAGATGAGTGGATAAAAAAGCAATGTTAGATCTATACCATGGAATTCTATGCAGAAGTAAAAAAGAAGGCTCTCTTACCCTTTGAGACAGCATTGGGGGGGGGAGGGGGGCGGGAGGAGGCCTAGAGAGTATTATGCTAAATGAAATAAGCCAGTCAGAGAAAGATAAGTATCACATGATCTCATTCATATGTGGAATCTAAAGAACAAAGTAAACTGATGAACAAAATAGATCCAGAGACACGGAAGCATGAAACAGACTGTGGAATCTCAGGGGGAAGGCAGGGGTGAGAAGAGATTAACCAAAGAACTTATACGCATATATGCATAACCTATGAACACAGACAATAGTGTGGCGAAGGCCTGGGGTGAGGAGCAGGAGCAGGCTAGAGGGGTCAATGGGAAAAAAAGGGACATATGTAATACTTTCAATAAAGATAAATTTAAAAAACACACAATGAGATATCACTTCACACCTGTTACAATGGCTTCTGTCAAAAAGATAAGATAATAAGTGTTAGTAAGGATGTGGAGAAAACGGAACCCTGTACTCTGTTGGCGAGAATATAAAATGGTACAGCCCACTATGGAAAACAGTATGAAGGCTCCTTAAAAAGTAAAATAATAGAACTATTATATGATCCAGCAATCCCATTTCTGGGTATTTAATGAAGGGAAAAAATTGCTATCTTGAAAAGACATCTGCACCTCTATTTTAATTGCAGCAATATTTATAATATCAAGACATGGAAACAACCTAAGTGTCCATCAACAGATGAATGGATAAAGAAGAGATATACAATGAAATATTATTCAGCCATAAAAAGGAGACAATATTGACAACTGAATGTACCCTGCGGGCATTATACTATGGAAATAAGTTAGATGGAAAAAGCCAAATACTGCATGATCTAACTTATACATGGTATATAAAAAACAAACCCAGGAACAAAGAACAGATTGGTGGTTGTGAGAATCAGGGTGTTGGGGATGAGGAAATAGGTGAAGGTGGTCAAAAGGTTAAACAAATTGTAAGACATATTTTTCCTGTAAGGTAAAGTGCATAAATAAATATTTCTATTAAAAACTGTTTAATCGCATTACACTCAATGCAGCTTTCTCGATCAACCTCATGGACACTGTCTTCACTTCTTGCTAAATCTACACTTCACTATATGTAATAGCTTTGCTACCAATTAATATCTTGTCCAGGGCACATGCCTTTCACAGTCTTAAGCATCAGTATTATTCGTACCCTTTTAATGGACTAGCTAGTTTCTGAGGGCAGTATCTCTGCTTTCATTGTGTAGATTCCTTTAAACAAAACTTGTAAGATTTATTTCAACTAATTTACAGAAAAGAGAAGTTGTTCAGCCAACTTAGAGCTGATTAGTGAAAAGCAACTGGCTTCCTGGGGACTTTGTATACAAATAGACTGAGTAATAAACTTTGCCCTCCTCAGGACTTAACTCTGCCTAACTCCCAGGACCCTCAGCTTGGCCTGAAGCTGCCTCTTGGCATATTCCTCCTGAGACACAGTGCACCTAGAAACTTGGTTCCTGTCCTCTTTTTAACCTCTTAGTGTATATACAAAGGCTATGGTGGTTGTTTTCCTTAATAGAAATTTTCCATTCTTTTTTAAAAATCATTTTTATGTCTCAATTATGGTTGACATACAATATTAGATTAATGATTAGACATTACATAACTAAGTGATCAACCTGATAAATTTCACACCTGACACCGTACAAAGATATTAGAATATTATTGATTATATTCCCTATGTTGTACTTTACCTCCTCCCATAACTATTCTGTAACTATAAATTTGTACTTCTTCATCCTTTCACCTTTTTGCCTATTCTCCCAATCTACCTCCTATCTGGCAACTATCAAAATTTCTCTATATCTATGAGTCTGTTACTATTTTACTTCATTTGTTTTTTGGGTTTTTTTAGATTCAATCATTGACATATATGTATTTATTGTCATTTTATTGTTCAAATTTTTTATCTTTTTTTTTCTTTTTCTTATAGAAGATCCTTTAACATTTCACACCATACTGGTTTAGTAGTGATGAACTCCTTTAGCTTCTTCTTGTCTGGGAAGCTTTTTAACTGTTCTTCAAGTCTGAATGATAGCTTGGCTGGGTAGAGAGAGTAATCTTGGTTGTAAGCCCTTGCTTTTTATCAATTTAATCAGCAATTAATTGCTCTACAATTTAATCTTGCCAATCCCTTCTGGCCTGCAAATTTTCTATTGTGAAATCAGCTGACAGTCTTATGGAAGCTCCCTTGTAGACAACTAACTGTTTTTCTCTTGCAGCTTTTAAAATTATCTTTGTCTTTAACTTTTTCATTTTAATTTTGATGTGTCTTAGTGTGGGCCTCTTTGGGTTCATCTTGTTTGGGACTCTCTGAGTTTCCTGGACTTGTATGTCCATTTCTTTCATCAGGTAAGTGAAGTTTTCTGTCATTATTTTTTCAACTAGGTTTTCAATTTCTTGTTCCCTCTTTTCCTTCCTGTACCCCCTTGATGCAAATCTTGGTACACTTGAAGTTGTCCCAGAGGCTCCTTACATTAACCTCCTTTTTGGGGGATTCTTTTATCTTTTTGCTGTCCTGATTGGGCGTGTTTTGCTTCCTTACATTCCAAATCACTGATTTGATTCTCAGCTTCAACTCTACTGTTGATTCCCTGTAAATGATTCTTCATTTCAGTTAGTGCAGCCTTAATTTCTGACTGGTCATTTTTTATGCTGTTGAGGTTCTCACTAAGTTCATTGAGCATCCTTATAAGCAGTGTTTTGAACTCTGCATCTAGTAGATTAGTTGTCTCCATTTTGTTTAGTTCTTTTTCTGGAGTTTTGTACTGTTCTTTCATTTGGGACATGTTTCTTTATCTCCTCATTTTGGCATGTTTGGTGTGTTTATTTCTATAATTAGGTAGAGCTGCTATGTCTTCCAGGCTTGGCAGAGTGTCCTAATATGGTAGGTGTTCTAGGTGTTCTATAGGTTCCAGTGGGAACCTATAGGGACACAGCCTCCCTGATCACCCAAGTTGTGCATTCGAGGTTTGTCCCCCACCCCCCAGTGTGGTCTGTGTATACCCTTCTTTTATAGTTGAGACTTTATTACTGTTGGTATGTCAATGGGATGGATTTACCCCCATGCCAATCAGCTACAAGGACTGACTGCAACCACCAACCACTGAGCTCTGACCACCAAGCTCCAATCACCATTGAAGATCAATTGTGCAGGGACACACTCAACAGAGCAGGACTTACTTCAATGGGGCTCTGGTGCCTGCTGAGTCTGCCCCTTGAGTGTGTTGCTTGTGGAGTTGGTTGGGTAGTGATGCTTCGACATGGTCTAAAGGTGCTTACTGGGTGCACTGGCCCTGGGGCCTCCCAGGAGGTGCAGGCCACAGTCAGCCATCACCTGTATTCTGCTCTGGACCACCTGGCATGAGCTACAAAGTGATCTGCAGATGGCTGCTACTTGTGCTGGGCTTGGAGGTGCTCAGGTAAGGCCACACTGTGAACCAAGGCTGGCTGCTGTTAGTGCCGGGCTTAGGGCCACTTAATGAGAGGTATTCGGCATGCTGAAGCTAGATGCTTCTTGTTTGATAGATTTTTAAAAGAAAATCTGAAGCATGAGCACAACAAAGCCATTCACATGGAAAAGCCACTGGAAAAACAGCATGGGTAGGCCTGAAAGTTGGGTGGAGCAGGGCCTCAGGAAACCATCAGGGCAAACTGTGTGAGCCAGGTTGATGGAATTTCAGATATGGTGCCTGCCTG